TCATTTCATGATATCTTTAATTAGACATCATTAATTAAGCGGAGAAGTAATTCGTCGACCAACGAAAAAAAAGAATAAAAGTCAGGGAGGTCAACCCTACGGGTGTCCTCTTCGCTACCTTTCAGTGCGGAGGGGATGAATAGAATAATATTAACAAAAAGAAGAAGGAAAAACGCACCATCAGAACACATGTGCGCTGCTTCATTGAACGCCTGCAAGCGGCCACTTATAAAATATCACGGCATATCCATGAATGAAGTATAATCAGTGTGCGAAAGTAACGGGATAGTTCAATGTGAGCGGCAATCACTCGTGACATTAAAACCACTCAAGCACGTAAATCAGTGCCAAGCGGTCTTAAAGTTTTATACAAACTTAACCAGTCATAACTGTCGTGTTGTCATGACGATAGTTATAGCGCGAGAACAAAACGACGACACAGAGACAAGAAGCAAACCTGTGTCGTCGTTTTGTTCTCGCGCTATAGCTATGGTCATGCCTTACCAACTAGCCCAAGCTGCCACACTTCTATATCATGTTGTCTTGAGTGGCAAATTTCGTTTTGTCTTCAATATTACTCCTGCGTGGTTGGAAAAGACGCGGTTCGTGCACGTTCCCCTGGTGGTTGTTAATTGTTTCCGATCATATTAAAGGCATCGTAGAGCATATCGAAACGTCATCTGCTGCACAATCGAGTTGTTGTCTAGGATCATCATTGTGATGGCGTATAGTCAATATCTTTTAGGCGCTTCGCCCTGATGGCAGAAAGAGAATGTGAGGTCTGGTACGCGCTTAGTCATCCACATCATCGTCATCGTCAGCGGCGGCTACGGCGCGACAAAGGACAAGCCTCATTCACAAACTGCTTCTTATCTAAAACAAAACTAAACAAAACAAAAAATGCAGCAAATCACACGTCACTTTGCTGGTATCCGACGTGTTGAGTCAAAATCTGACGAATGTAGCATAAAATTCGGAACAGGCGATCGATTACATAGAGTAGCTTGGGTGATTTTGTGATACTAGTTCGTGATCACGAAAATTAAGATAACCCGTATATAAGAAGTAAGAGACCATAAGGCGACACGGAATGTGCCTCTGTTCTGTTAAAATTTCGGGCACACTGCGCTTATCACCCAATCAAGAGGCACAAAGAATACTGCTGCTTAATAGTAAGTAAAAAACAAACCTCACTGTATAGCAAGGCTTCTGTCACTCTTATATTTGCCTGTGGGATTGTTTGGCCTAGCTTGCGAGCGATAGCGAAATTGCAAAGCGCTTAAAAGACCACGACGTGTTGTGCTCTCTTCTGTTTTTGTTGTACCTTTAGGCACCTTCTGCGGATAATTAAGGTCGTGTTCGATTTCTGGCGTTGATTGCATTTAGCTATCTCCTTCTGTAATGCGTAGAGTGCAGATGACTCAGAATATGTAATGTAATATTTGTAAAACTTCTGAAAGAAGGCTGCTTCTGGCGTTTGTTGATCTGGATTTGTACGCATGAGCGCATGATATACAACCAATACACAGATGAAAAACGTGATTGGGAACATCTCTAAGGAGTTAGGAACACAGCTGCACAACTCCTTGCATGAAGTTCGTCTGAAAGAGTGATGGTTTTCCGCTATGAACCTTTAATAATGCAAATACAACGAGAAGGTTCCTCAGGTGGGCTATAGTTGGTTCACGAACGCTATGGCAGCGACGCACAGAGTATACGAGACAGTGCAACGCACACGCAGAGCGCTGTGTATCACTGTTGCACATTTCCCTCTCTCAACACACATGACATTTTAATTTCTTACCACAGTTTGACAAGCCCCTCCTTGTTATTTTTGTATATTTAGTTATTATTATTTATTTATCCACGTCGCTTTCTGACAGTACATTACGTAAAACTGAGGAGAAGGTACACGAGGCTTCATAGAGACGAAAGTTGGAAAAATTTTTTCAGACTAGCTACGCTGACAATTTTCCTGCTTTGTCTAATCCTCATTCATTAAAAAAAAGATAATGGACAACAAAGGCGCTTCTCCACCAGACAGTTGTAAATGCAGTGGGACTGTTTTTACGTGGACAATGAAATCACCTCATAAAGCCAGAAAATCAAATCACTGCCGCGAAGTCGCAAGCCGAGACAGTCATTGCCACATCTTCAGATAAGCGTTCAACGTGACCGGGGAAGCTTTTTTACAAAACTAAGTTAAAAGAACATATTGTGCAGAAAAAAGCCATCGTCGTCAGCGAATTGCACTCTCGGAGATAATTCTCTTGGCGTGTGTGGAAAACCGAACCCCACAAAACTATAAATGACGTAACTTCGTCTGTTCTGTCCGACAGCGTGCGCTGTCACTGAAATCCTCCCGACACACTGTACAGCCTGCCCGAATGTGCACTGACAGTGACGTGCCTCGAAAGAGGCAGCACTCCCGTGGGCGCGTTCAACCGCAGGTGGCCTCGCAGTGGCTTATGGGCCGAGTCCACGCTCTCGGAATGTCTTCTACGCTTCAGCATGCACGGCAAGACGCCCTCAACCCACCTCAACGAGTTTATGCCTGCCATAAAACGCTTTCTCTCGTGTGGCTTTACTTTCTGTCGGCTTGACTGCAGCATGCTAGCCAGAAACACCGCGCCCGCCACGCTATATATACACAATATCACTTCAACTTTCTTTGTGTGCCACCAAGGTTTCCAGCTCCACGAGCAAAACAGCCAAATGCAGAGCAAAAAAAAATGAAAAAGACGCGCGAAATACCGCAGCCGTAGTGCAGTATTTCTGCGACACTTAGTCAAGTATGCACGCACGAGTGTTCGGGTGAATGTTTGTGTTCACATTTACTTGTTCGTCCCTTGCCTTCTACTTGTTTTCTATCCCTTCTTTTGTGATCATTCCGGTCGTTGAACTTTCCGGCTCTGAGAAAAGCTGGCTTTGCGTGGAATTGGAGTGTTTTTTTTTTTTTTGTCGGCGGGTTGTTTGAAAACTGTCTCGGACCGGAGGGGGCCACACATTTATTGCGCACAATTCCGAAGAAGCAAAATAACGAGAAAAGGATGGATGATATAGAACGAAAACAAGGGTTAGACTGAACGAAATGCAAGACAAGGGGTTGCAAATGAGATGACCGGTGAATATTATTGTAAAGGGGGAAGTGCGATCCTCATCTCTTCCAGCAATGTTTAAGTAAAATGGAAGACCCTTGAGAGAAATAAACTCGATCGCAAGATAGGATCATTCGCCACAATATTTGCAAAAAACAGATGACACAACAATATTAAACAGGGAAAAAGAGCAGAGGCAATAATAAAGTTTTCATAATGCAGTGTTCGATGAATCGCCATAACGACAGTTTGTTTATATGGATGCATGTGCGTGTCGATTAATCGAATCACTGGGATATAAAACATTCCATTCGGGCATTCGTTTTTCACTTTTAGATCCACTTGAGATTTCCTATTATCTTTCGTTCTCTCGCGCCTGTGTGCAAGATGTAATGCGTAAAACGTGCATATTTAGTATTCCGACGCCTTCAGCCAAGCCGCAGTTATTTTCGAAGATGTACATTCGAAACTGGCAGACATTTTTCGTCTAACTGTCTTCTTTGTTTTCTCTTAGCTCTGTGTTTCGGTATTATGTTCACCCAGCATACTATGCAAGCACTGTGGCTGAAGGTAGAAGGTGGAAGCACGCGCCTAATGACAAAAAATTAGGCGCAGTGATCACACTTCAGCACAGCCGCATAAAGCAGTTTCAGAGGAGATAAATAGTGAGCGAAACGGGCCAAACTCTTTTTATGTGCGCTCCAGATTAAACTCTCGAGGCACAGTGGTGGTCCGCGCAATAAAGAGAGTTAGACATAAAGAATCAAATAAATAATTATTTAAATAATAATAAATTATTCAATAAAAATTCTTAATGACGAATAATAAAGTATAATGAATGCAGACCAGAGGGCGAACTGCAACGTGGGAGTAGCTGCATCGATCAGCCATTATATATAGGCGACGCAGAATATCGTGCGTGCATTTTCGTTATGGCTCCTTCCGCTATAGCCATTGGCACACGCAGGCACCGGTACACTCCACGCACTCGAACCGCATGTGATCTCTACTATACCAATCAAGTAAATACAACGCCCGAGATATTGCCCATCTCTTTTCCCTCGTGGTTATTCATCGTTTTTGTAGTTGCTTATGGCGTTTATAAGGTATGTTCTATAACCTATGTGTGTTCACACGAAGTTTCCGCTTCGAACATGACAAGACCGCCATGGGTTTAGAACTATGTTCATATGTGGAGCAGCATCCTCGTCATCAAAGCATAACACATAGAGGGTGTTGATTGTGAAAAGTGCATGAAACATTATTATAGAAGTTGAAGTGCATGGATAGTGGCCTTGACAAGTGAACTTGTGCGGCAGAGGAGGCTCAGACAAGATAATCGCTTTAGGCGTGACTTCATCACGGCTGTGGTGACCATGATCGGCGATTTCACGCATGTCACTTCAAGCCTTCATATTTCTACGAAATGATGTCTTGCTTGAATAATAACCGCAGTTAAGATCGGGTTATCGCTGATCTGATATATGTGTACATGTTGACGTCGCAAATGTACGCAAATGATTGTCATTATCATGGCAATATAGCGCACAGTAAATGCATTATCCTCCACTTTCCTGTAGATCGCACCATATCCAGCACTACGCAGGTAGCATACATCCGTAGACAATCACCACACTTCGCAGCGCATTGCTTCTCGAAAGACAGTAACACGCGCAATCAGCAATCTCTCTTCCCTTCACACAAAAGCTCATGCGCCGGATGACACATAGGGGGAAAGAGATGGCGCGACCGAGAGCGCATTCAGAGAAAGTGCTCCAAAGGCAGCAAAAGACGAAGGCGTTCTGCGGGATGCAAGCGAATCCGCGCACGAATGGCCATCCCTCGTAACTGTCTCCTCCCAGAACAACGTGGAGGGCACATGCGGCGCCTAAGGCAACGCACGTGACAGCGGGCTGCTGGTGCCTATAATGTGGTCCGCCATTTTCCTTTGTGCTTCAGTCTCACATTTTCTTGGTGCCGTTCATGTTCTCCACTTACACTACTAAAACCAACCGCGCGCTCTTTGTCACCCGAAAGCCCAGCGGCAGCGTAACGACGTTCCGTGCCCGAGAAAGGCGAAAGAGGGAATAGAGACACTGGAGCCGTTGCACTTGGAAGGGGAGTAATTGTGCCAAAAAGGGTTGCGGTGGATCTCACTGCAATGAAACTGCACAGGCTCTCTCTCACTTTCCCTTCTCACAACGAGCGAAAATTGTGGCTCACTCACCATCTACTCAGTTCCAAGCTATACGGAGCCCAGATGGTTTCCACAAAAAGCAACCGAAATTGTAGACAGCCGTCGGTGGCTGAGAGCTGAGCCACATTGGTGATCCGAGCGTGCTATGGCCTTCCCTTAATTCCGCGCAAACTCCTGCGCCTAGGACTACTACGCTATACATCCTCCCGCCGCTCCTCGTGGCACCCCATAGCCTTTTCTTTCCTTTCCAGATGGCTTCTTCACTGTGCAGGGGGAGGCCAATAATTCAGTTCATGATGGCGGCCCACTGGCTCGGTAAGAGCGTTTGGTGGGGGGAAGGGGGTTGACGCTGAGAAGGTGCTCCTTTCTCGTTAGCGATGGTCGCGGTTCGTCGCCACAGAAGGTGACGTGATTTTGGGCGCCTTGATCATTGTCCATGGCTCGCCCTTCCTACCATGCAATGTCTCTGGGTCTGCCTGTGTTAGAAACGAGCGCATCGCAATAGCCTCGTGTTCTTTATATTGAACCTTATGGCGCCACTGCAGTCCGTTCACGTGAAACATTTGCGAAGCAGCTCACATTACAGAAGACGTTGGCTTGCGTTCACTCTTCGGGATTATAGATTTGAGCATAGACTAGCCTGTTTATAGTTATCTGCTGCGCGTAGTGCAAAGGATATATTTTAATTATTCATATGCTCTCACCTTTAAGCTGATAGTAGGGTAGGGCGCAGACGGAAAAAATAAATGCAGGGAAATAATATTTCGCATCTTCCCCTGTATAATGGCGCAGGTGGAAGACAAGGAGAAGCTTTGGAAATAGGTTGATAATAACATTAGCTAAATGTAGACATGACTAGTCAGTCGCTATTGATCTTGGGGAAAATGTCTGCCTAGAGTACAGGGAAAAAAAAAACCTACAGGTCTTTTTTTTTCTCACAGCTTACTATTGAATCATTCGAGATCTGGTTATTCAGTCATCTTATGGCCCATTGCTATGAATTTAGTTGAAAATCAAATGCAATAAAATTAGTTTAGCAGTCTACGAAGGACAGCTGGTGGTTCGAAAATACCTATGTAGCTTAATTAGGTTGATGAATGACAGCGCTTACGCTTGCTCTGTGTAGTGTTCCCTACTCCAAGGCCACGTTTCAGATAAGTCTTTTTCTTAACAAGACTAAATACAGTGGCTTTGGAGAGGCTCTGCTTTGGAGAGCCTCTGCTTTGGGAGACCTGAGGAGCTTCAACTTTGCGAAAACTGGGTAAAATGGGTCCCTGTGCGCGTATATAAAATCACCTGCACATCTAGCTGGCTGTCGCCATCGATACACATTATGTTTAACAGTAGAAAGAAGGAGAGACACTCGCAGAAAAATTATTTCCAACTAAAAAGCTCGTAAACTCGTTCCAGGTTTTCTTAACAAGCAATCTAGAAGTGGACACAACAAAAGAAAAGAAAAACAACAATTAAACGCTGACAATACGGGAACGTGTCATTAACAATACATAAAAAAAGATGGTGCGAAGGACAGCTAAAAAAATGAAGCCCACTGAAGGACGTAATTGTATTTCACAGTTAGCTATTGCCACATGCAGTACACGCGGGTTCTTGCAATACAGGACCTTCAGCTCGCAAAAGTTACGCGCCTCCAGTTCATGTCCCCGTCTCGACTAAACTAGCACGCTGGAATTTTTCAACACATCCCGCGAGTGACTTGTACAGTGATTGAACGTGATATTCTATGATAACATCATAGCTGCGCCTGTCATGCATGACCAGTTGGTTTTGCTACTGTTGTAGCTTCATTTCACAGCGTTTTGGTCGATTCGCCGGAAGCCTCGCTAATTTACGTCAACTGCGTTTCGCTCGAGCACCCTCTCGAATAGAACTCGTCCTTAACCCCGAAGTGCGCCTACAATGTCCTGATCTTGTGTACTTTACTGGGTTCATTTATTTCTCGTTCATTCTCTTTCAGTACTGGGTTAATTTATTTCTGCACGCGAAACAGTGCAGGCAAACTGGGTGAAATGCTGGAGTCTGTAGGCGTAAACAATATAACCTTACGAGAATGACATAAACGAACCCGTGCTTTGTCCTCATAATCTTCGCCCAACGTTCAGGGGCTGTTCAAGTGTATGGAGCAATGAGTATTTATTCTGTTTCTTTAACGCGACAGCATGTAATCTACACATTCTGTGAGCTAGTTCAGCTCTGAAATGGCACACCAGTAAACATCACATAAAAAGTAAGGAAACTTCTGAAGGTACGCATGAAATCACCACAGAAAAGTGAGCGATGATGTCTCGTTGACTTGGCAATGCGCCTAATCAAAGAACACACCGATCTAAACACAAGCTCTGATAGCAGATTTTTTTGGATACGATCTCCTCCCCTTATTTAAGGCACTCGACGAAAAATTGAGACAATCAACCATTTTTTCAGGTGTGAAATGCAACGTAAAGTAAGTTTATAGGTAACTTTGACATATATAAATTTGCAACTCTTTGAAAAAAGAAATCACGGCATATCTCTGGAGTGAATGATCATGAGATGGGGCAAGCGTCCTTCAGTCAATCCATGCTTCCTTCAGTGCGTTCCTTCTTGCTTGCGTCAGTCCTTGCGTCCGTCCGTAAGACCATCCCTCTGTCCATGCGTCCGTTCATGCGTCCGTCTGTGCACCAGTTCAACCGTGCCTCCAATCATGCGTCCATGCGTCCATCCGCGCGTCCGTCTGTGTGTCCGCGCGTTCATGTGTCCGTCCGTTCATGCGTCCATGCGGCCATTCGTGCGTCCTTCTGTGTGTGCGCGTATGTGTCTGTTCGTCCATCCATGCGTCCATCCACGCGTCCATCCACCCGTCCATCTGCTTGTCTGTCTGTTCATCCATCCGTCCATCCATGTAGTGAACACTCAGAGTGCCCCCCATCTCGCGTCTTTTCGCCATATATTGATCATATAGAAGTACTGCAATCCAGCGGGCATTCCAAGGACTAAACAAGAGGTGGCTACCTACTACTACTACGACGACGACTACTACTACTACATACATCGCGGATGCACAACGTATGGCTTAAAGAGCTTCGCCGCTAAAACAAATCACATTGAGTTTTTAGTTTCGGGTATTTATCCCCTTCTTCCCTAGTCACACTTCAATCGTCGGTGGCCTCGGATGCCTGTGGCAATGGGTCTTCGACATTTTTCGTTCCAAGTATCGCGACCCATGTAATTTGACCATGGCTGCACCAGGGCTGCTGCTCCTACAGCGGTCCACGCGCAACGCTGGTTCGCAGCACATGTCACACCAGCCACTTGATGGGCGTGATTCCCACAGCCTATACACCTTGTTGACAAAGGCTCCCTGGGTGCCACCATAAGCCCATCTGAGCTGTTGTTAACAAGCGCGACCACCTCAAGAAGTATGACCGAAGCTGTGGCAAGGTGCGAAAAGTATACAGCATGATGCATCATGCTTTTGTTAGATTATAGGCTTCACACGGCCTTCACGAACAATTTCAACTGCACAATTCAACAAATCGTACACATAAAATGTGCTTGCTACGCATTGCTATAGAATGCCTACGACTATTTCGGAGGGCGCACAGCCGCTGCTTGCCGGGGCAACGCCGTCCGAAGTGTATCGAATCACTCACAACATGACTCGAGATCAAGACTGTCTACTAAGGGAAGTCCCCCAGCGAAGATCGTTTTTTTTTTCATCAAAACTTACAGGTTCACTTATGCATACGCCTGAGTCAACCAAAAGGTGCAAATCGAATTCTTTTTTTTTCCTTAGAGTCAATGTAATGCACTTCATGCGCACACTTCCGAAAGCTTTCGACAACTAACGTGCTTTTTCAGCCTGCCAGAGCAGAAATATGGTAGCTTTTTGAACTTGTGTGTTGTACTGCCTCCGGGATCGGTCCACTTTTGACCAAGCAATTATGTCATTTGAGGACGTCACATTCATGTCGGGCTTACCCCACAAGTTTTGAGCCCATCTGACGTCATGACAACGTGATATGCGGTCGTAATCACGTTATGATAGTTTTATGCACCATTCCTGTTGATGTCACTGACGTGGTACGCCGATTCCACATACCGGTCTGAGGAGGCATCTAAGGTTTGTCTAATGAAAAATGGATGACATAAAGTAATAAAAACGCCTAGAGGCTTAAAGGACCCGTTCTACGTGTGCTAAATATCATAACTCCTCTAGTATATACCAATTACAATAAGTGCAGTGCGGCCTAGCATCCTGCACTTGAAATGCAAGCCTCAGAAACAAATAATGAAGACGATCGATAAAGGGCTATCTGCGTTTGTAGGTGGCGTGAGTCGTGCCACTGTATGTCGCCGAGACGTGGCGCGATGGGCCAAGTTATATATCGATTGCTGACTACTATATCATGTATGCGCCATGAACGTTTGTTTGAGCGTTATGTTGACATGGTTTCTCGCAAAAGCTATATACTAGAGCACTTCATAATTTGCAAATTTATCCGTCATGCTTGTGTATGCACACGAAAAGAGCGTGTTACCAATCGCAAGCACACTACACACAGTAGCCATAGGAAACGTGTCAATAGGACACGAGATGAGTGTAAGTCACGACACGTGCCACGCATGCAGCCATCTGATGTCAAGTGAAGGTATAAAGATCCGAAAAAACTGCATGTAGGTGGCCTTGCGGAGAAGAAAGTTTCTCGGAAGATAGCCACAACGCTTTATCGATCATATAAGCAGAA